GCAAATATGGGAGCAGGAGGGATGTGTGACCCCACATGCCCCCCACATGTCAGGTCTGGGCAATCCCTCCTCCTCTTACAGTCCCATTTGCCAAAGCAAAGATTAACTTTAGAGGACACGTAGTATTGCTACTGAGCTGCCTCAGTTTCCCCATTGGGTGTGTGTATGGGGGGGGGGGGAGGTTTAGCCCCCTCCAAGGGCTCTCTAGGTAGATGAAGGAGACCACAAATCAGGCCACCCCCTGGGAATCCTGTCTGAGGCCCCTTCCCAGACACCACCATCCCTTTCTTGGCTACACTGGCCCTCTTTGCAGGACCCACCCACCAAGCTGAAGGGGGATGGGTAGCTGGTGTACAATCACTTCAGCCCCATTTGCAGCTTGTGAAGGACGGTGGCTTTACCCTAGTGCTTCATCCCAGGTGGAAATGACTAACCTCCCTGTGTTCCGGCTCGCCGGGGGTGTGGGTGGGTGGGGCACTGGTGGCAGGTTGGGGAAGGACTTTGCAACAGGTTTCATTTCCAATGTCAAGCCACACGCCTTGGAGCAGGAGAGATGGGATCAAGGCAAACTGAATCAGAGCCTGATGGGAAGCATGACAATGAGGGTTATAGGGATTCCATCATTCTGTGAACCTAAAGGAGGAGGAGGAGGAGATGGGGGGGGGGGGGGTTGAACCGCACCAGAGAGAGAGAAGTGCTAGTTTCTTGCAATCACATCTTAGAGTTTCCCCATTTTGCTGGCCTTGGTGTAGGCATAAAAAGCAGACGGAACTATCCCTCAGGCTGGTGTTCTGCCCTCAAATTAGCTTGGCCCACCGGCAAAACTTGCTCACCAAGTACGTGCGACAGAGAGAAAGAGACAGAAGCTCTTGTGCCCTTTTAAAATCTTGAAACATTTAGAAAGTAGGCAGATTAGTGACGCTCCCAAGGTCATTGGTACAGAGATCCAGCAGTCTCTTGGCTCCTGATCCAGAATGAGAGTTCAAGGCAGGTTATGGCTGGCTGCTCCAGACTCCACTTGCTAACAAATTTAGCGCCGTCTGCTAATCTCGCCTTGGTCATAACAATGATCCAGTTTCTCGGGTTTCCTAGCAAGCTTCTACGGTATTACTTGAGAAGCTGATAAGAGCTGAAATACCCCTCCCCTTCACCCTGGCCCAGCCCTTGAATTAGGCAGACATGATCTACTAAAGCACCAAACACTCAGGCTATGTCTACACTAGACTTCTGTTGGTCAGGGGTGTGCTCTCCCACCAGCATAGAGCACCTGAACGGGAAACCTTAGAGCTGTGCCGCTGTAAGGCCTGTAGTGTAGACCTGGGCCTCTCACCTTCCTTTCCAAGCCAAGGAACAGTCAGCTAGTCACTAAATGTAGAGCATTTCACATGAGGGTGTGCCCTGAACTCAGCAGAGACAGAGGAACAGATTGCAGATCCGAAGTGGTGGTGGACGGAGGAGCAGAAGCACAAAGTAAGACAGATGATGTTTTAGGAAATTCTGGATTTGGATCAAAAATACTCTCTGGATTTAGGTTTAAGTTCATCTGCTGGGATAGAGTTTCAATTCCTGAATTTTTTGTGTTGTGTTCTCTCTCTCTCTCTCACATGCATAAAAAGTGTAAAATAACATGTAATAATCCTGTAACCACATTATGAGCAATTACAAAACAGCCTTACGATGAGTTTGTGTGTGACCATTGATGTTCTACTAAAGTCAAAAATGCCCAGCAAATGAACAGGGCTGACACTTCAGACCATGATATAGCAATTCCACTTTCCAGGCCGTGCATATCAGGGTGGCTAAGTTCTGATCGCTCCAGTTACCTTCTGCCTAGCTAAATTCTCCTGCAGCTTCAAACGGCTCTTCTCTTCCTGTCCTAAAGCGATGGATGCTGTGGATTGCCGAGTACTGTTGAAAAGTTACTGGGGTTTACCCCACAGGCAACTGAAGTTCAATAGCGAGTGAACAGATCCTGCTATAAATATTTTTAATACCAGAAATAGGCAGTGTGTGCGTGTGTCTATTTTAACATTACTATCACTAGCACCTGAAGCGTGTTGTCTGCATAAATTGTTTGAAACACAATCACAAGCCAGACATATTAACTCACTGTCTATATTCTACCGATGTATCCACCCCACCCTCCCACACTTTCTTCATGCCTTGTATTGAGCAAACCTTAAATTTATCTTTACTGCTCTGAGTGTCACAGAAAGGACCAGAGGGTCTATGTTTGGTTTGTTTGCTCTCCACCTGCAGCGCTACCCTAGGATCATTTTCTGGAGCCAGAGCGCAATATTTTGCAAATTAAGATCAAGTGAAAGCCCATTGTGATAGCTTTTAGGGGGAAAAAAACCTATAGAAAGATATCGAACGATGAAAAATTATAGAGCTGGTATGTCTCACTGAGCCTGGCTATGCCCTTAAATGCCAGAGATCCTGGTACCACCCTCAGCACCATACTGTCTTTGCTCAGGAAATATAAAAGCTAGTCTAAAATTCTGGGATAAAGACCATGGTTGACCACTCCACTGCTCACACTCAGTGGAACTGCAAGGGGGTATCCAAACCGCACAGGGTTAACGAGCTGCAGTGGGTTCAGCCAGCTACCCATGACCCCTGTCAGGCTCGGAGGAAGGGGTTAAAGGGGGAGAGCACGGCTCGGGTGGGGCTGGCTGGGAAGGAGAGCAGAGCTCCGGCTAGCATTCGGAGAGCCTGCTGCCTGTCACAGCCTCCCTGAGGTGAGGGAGGCCTTATGCGGGACCTGTTTGTTACCGGCGTCTTGTTTGCTGCTGTGGGGTAAAACTGCAGCAGGGAGAGGCCCTGCATGAAGGGGGCAACAGCCAATAACCCCCTTTTGGCTTGGTTAGTCATGGTAGCGGTTTGTCCTGAGCTCAGGAGCGACCCTGGTCCCATGGGGTGGAGAACACGGGCCGCAACCTATCCCCGTGCAAGGGAGAGTCCACCGTGACCCAGCGAGTGAGACGGGCCGAGGCAGCCCCAGCAACTACTGACAAGCTGCCCTGGGCACCTGGTGAGGATGCTCCCAATCAGCCTGTGGCCACCACCCAGATCTGGCTCCTTGAGGCTCTGAGGCCACAAGCAGCCGCCTGGGGCCGACTTCCCATAGTGTCTTGGATCAGCTAGTTGGGGACATGCAACTACCTCGTCTACAGGCTTGTCCCCTTCTCTCCAGGGAAGCTGAGGGGAGGAGGAAGCCAAGGCAGACAGCGAGCCCCTTGCTGAGGGTGCAGGGAGGAACCTTGCTCCCAGGGGCAGAAGTACCGGCTCCCCATGGACTTCAGCGGCTTCTCCCCAGATGAGCTGAGAGAGAAACTAGAAGGCAGGAAACGGACGGTGATGGGGAAGCGTGAGAAGGAAATGGAGTTGATGGCTGCAGGCTGCTCTCATCATGAACACAGAGCAGCTCTCCTGATTTGACTCTCCAAACCATGCTCTGTCCCTGCCCGAGAATGGGCAGCTCCACAGTGAGGTGCTACATCTGCAGGTGGCAGGGCCAGAAGAGAGCGCCACTCCCATCAGTGTCTGCCAAGGGCCAATGGTCTGCTTCTCAGGCGAGCACCCAGGCGCCTGTGCAGATACTGCTCGTACCTGGAGTGCAGCTGCCGGCAGGTGTGGATGGCAGAAAGCCAGAAACGAGCTGGTTTGGGCCAAAGTCACCATCCCCATCCAAATAAATGGGCTGAGGCCATAGAACTGGTCTGCTCAGGGTGTGGCCAAATTCTTCTCCTGGACCACTCAGTAGAGGCCAGAGGCCCCGGAAGAGACTACAGAATTACATTCAGGGGAATGCAAAACTCCACTCAAGTATGCAGTCCAACTGACCCTACAGGAATGTACAGGGACCCCTGTAGTAGGGCTAGCCTCGCTTACCCAGTTATTCTAGTTCAGGACTGGGAGTACTCTGGGATGGTATGGAAGAGATTTGGAGAGCCTTCTGGTACTATGACCCAGGCTGCCTCAGCAGACGGGGGCCAGGAACCTGGTAGGTGAAGAGGCAGAACCTGCAGAGGGGAGTTCCAGACAACAAGAGGCCCCCTCAGACTCCCAAGCAGGTGGGGAGCCAAGGGTGCCCCCTTCAAGGATCAAACATTTTAATGTGCTGTTCTGACTTTGCAGGAGGATAATGGAGAGATGAGACACTGAATCAGTTAGCCATTGTGAATGGAGAGGTGACAAATTCCCCTCCAACCCCTAATCAAACCAGTCGATTCCTGTGGTTCAGAATCTGAGCTGAGTGGCTTTACTGTCCAGAGAAGGACAACCAGGTGGGGGAAGTATGAACACAGCTCACAGTACTGCAGCTATAGCATCAGGATGTCTTACGATTGGCAGGACACTTAGGCCAGGAGAAAATCCTGCTCAGAGGCACAGTCCATTTCTTCTGGCTCAGGATCTGTAAGGAGATCAGTGAGGTCTGTGGCTCTTGCCCCGAGCATCAGCTAGTTGCTCCTAAAAGGAGTTTCAAAAGCTCCTCTAGTCCCTCTCCCTTTGAATACGCAGGGATGGACTTGGTTGGGCCCCCGGAGAACAGTGCCATATGGCACCACGCTGGTGACGCTGTATTATTCCATGAGGTGCCTGGAAGCAATCCCAATACGCTCTAGGAAGGCTAAGACCATCGCGACCAACCTGATAAAGGTCTTTGCCAGGGTAGGGGTGAGCTGGGAGATCTTCACTGACCCGGGGACCAACTTAATGTCACAGTTGATGAAGGAGTTATGTAGCCTGTTAAAGATTAAAACCATCCAGACCGACTTGTACCACCCTTAAATGGATAGTCCTGTGGAGTGCTTATACCAGACACTGAAAAGAATGCCCAAGAAACCTTGGGATGCCCAATAGCCTTGTTCATAGACCCTTATCTGCTAGAGTTAGGAGCCCAGGCAGCATAGCCTATACACATAGGGGAGAACCTTCCGCCAGCACAGAAAGTCCAAGTGCAGCAGACTCATTCCCTTCTTTTTCACCTGAATTAGGGCAAACCCACTTAACCTATCACGCTATCGAAACCGAGCAGGTCACAGAGGTAGACACACCCCATCTTCCTGCAAAGGAGCCAGGGGAAGTTGTTAAACAGGAGCTCCAAGCCATGCTGGAACTGGGAGTTACCGAGGAGTCCCATCGCGAGTGGAGAAGTCCTGGAATGTTGGCCGTCAAACTAGATGGCACCTCCCAGTTCTGCATCAGTTTCTCCCACGCCCAGAGTGGACAACCTGCTAGAGTGGTAGGGTGAAGCCAATTACATCACCACACTGGCAGATGCTTCTTGCACCCAGATCCCATGAGAAGACTGGCTTCTCTGCTCTGTATGGGCTCTATCAATGCCAGGTCATGCGGTGTGGCCCCCACAGAGCACCTGCAACCATTCAGCAGCTGATGGACTGGGTCCTCCGGCCACAGGCCCAATACACCATAGTTTATTTGGATGATGTGGTCATTTATTGCCATGGTGGGGAGATCCTCTTAAATAACGTGGTGGCCACCCTCAGGTACCTAGAAGACACTGGGTTGATGGCAAACCCAGCTAAGGACAAAATAGGGAAGGAGAAAACCACCTACCTGGGGTACACGTTGGGGAAGGGCCAGGTCCAGCCCCTTGTCAATCAAGTGCAGACCTTGAAAGCTTGACCCGCTTCCACCACAAAACCGGTACAACAGTTCCTGGGACTCTGGGGTCCTATCTCTGCTTTGTGCATGGATTCTCCACCACAGCAGCCCCCCATCATGGGCATGATGGAAGGGCCTAGGAAGGGCTGCTGGTCAGAAGCTTCTGAAATAGCCTTGCTGACACATGGATGGGTAGGAAATCGGTCGTCTAACAGTTTGGATATCCCCTCCTATACGTTAACTGGAAGCTGAATCCCCAAGAGATGGCATACTCCATCACTGAGAAGGAAGGCCTGGTGATGAAGTGGGCCATGGATACACTCTGATATTACATCTTCGAAACCCATTCACCCTGATCTAAGATGACAACCCCCCTATGACGGCTAACTGCCATGAAAGACAAGTACCCATCCAGCTGTACTCAGTTAAGAAACAACATAAGGTGGGAAAGGCCTCCCCAACTGCCTGCATATTCTTCCAAGGCAGGTAGGGAGAGCTGATGGTACCATCTTAAGGGGGAGGGTGTGAGGAACGAGACACCCCACACTGGCCAGGAAAGGGTTAACGAACTGCTGTGGGCTCCCTCAGTCCCACCCCACAACCCCTGCAGCAGGTGTCAGGCTTGGAGGGAGGGGTTAAAAGGGGAGAGCACAGCTCACTTAGGGCTGGCTAGGAGGGAGAGCAGACCCCCGGCCCCTACTCTGTGTGAGGGGCCTGGCTGGAGCCAGGAATTTCCTGAGAACCTGCTGACTGTCAGAGCCTCTCTGAGGAGAGGTAGGCCTGATGCGGGACTGTTGTTTGCTACCAGCGCCTTGCTTGCTGCGGTTGGGTAAGACTGTGGCAGGTGGTGCCCTGTGTGAATGGGGTGGCAGCCAAATGAACCTCTTTTTGTTCCGTTACACCTGGCCAAGTTTACGCTAGTGATTTTCCCTGAGCCCATCTGAGACCCTGGTCACAGGATCTTTCTACCACAAGGGTAAAGATGGTTTGGAAAAAAACCCAAAAAAAGTAGTTTGTGCCCTTTTTGCTTCTTTATGATCTACAAAAGCAGCCTGAAAGGGTTTTTCAAGCACAACAAAAGTCCTTGTTTCTCACCTTAGAAATGTCAGGACTATCACCTCATTTTCCTTTTTTGCTGGAGATGATCTTGAAGATTGAGAGAACTGAAGTGGGAGCTTCCTTACCCTTAAACTGAAAAGGCAGGAGTGTTGCAAACTAACTGTAGTAAGATGAAGCCCTGGAACAGAAACCCTTATATCAGAGGCCCGGTATGAGGCCTGAACTAAAATAATGGTCAAGACTTTGCTAACATAAAACAAAGTTAAGCTGTGAGCCAGAGGCAGGCTCTGCTCACAGAAGCTGGCAAGGAAAGGGCTGATGCTGCAAAAAGAGACATACCTAAAAGGTACTGGACACTAGATATCAGAACATTCACATACTTGCACATTCCACACAGATAACAAGGAACAGGCTGACCCATCCTAAAGACAGGGTCAAAAGGGTAATATGATGGATAGAGTTTTGTTCGAACCAACATGTACAAGGTGAGAGGCGGCATCTTACTGCGTAGAAGGGTTGTACCTTGCTACGTAGAAGGGTTGCACCTCAATAGGTCAGGAGTGTTGTGTAACTTGTGAATGCACCCCTGGGGCGGTGTCTTTGTCTGGCCTAGGCGGCAGTGGACAGTCCCGCGACTGACTGAGCCGGTCCATTGTCAGGGAGCACATATGTACTAGCAGAACTGTAGACATCTGATCCGGGAAGCTAGAGACTGTGTTTTGTTTGACAATAAACCTGGCTGGGTGCCTTCGTACCTTATCGGAGTCTGTGGTCACTGGGGATTCTCTCGGGGTCTGCTGTGCCAGTGATCTGCAGAGCCGGGGCAGCACACAGAGGGAACACACGCACGCAGCCTACTGTTATCAACATTGAACAGAGCAGAGCACCACACCGGTGGCCTTCTGACCACACTAACAAGGAGAGCTTTTCTCCTAAATGTCTGCGAGGCCAGATTCAACATGTGGGATGTAGGGAGGAAATGTTCAGGGAGGAGAAGGTGGAGGTATAGGATTCTTATCATTAAAATCCTGCTTTCTGAAAGTTGTTAAATGCTTTTTAAGCTTCCTTGAAATATGTGAGGAAGAGAGTTTAACAATTTGCAGGTCAATTCTGTAGATGACAGATTTTAGTTCTCTCCTCAAAGGGAAGAAATGCTCAATGAGCACAGCAGCTGGTGACAATTCTCCATGGGGGAAGGGTGAGGAAGAGAATTCCTAGGCTTCCAGCAAATGATCAGTTCCCTACTTGTGTGAGCTACAGTAAGTCTGGTCATACTATACAAAGAGCCAGTCAGAACAATTAACGTGCCATGGAGTATTTTTTAAACCACATGCACACACCATAGCATGGAACGGGCTTTGATGAATCTCAATGAAAGACTGTTTCAATGCATCCTAATGTAGAAATTGCAATTCTAGTTGCAGTGAACTGCTTGATGTAAGGCTGTTTGTGGGGGAGGGGAGAGAAATAGCTGCCCTTTAAAAAAAAGTTGCCCGTTACAGACGAAGAAGCACATACTAAAATGCGCTATCTTCTGTAGAGAGGCAAAGTATTTAAATGAGACAATCCACATGTGTTACAAGCAGAACATTGTGTATGTCAAATCAAATGTAAACACAGATTTTTGTTCTCCGTTCACAAAATGACACACGTGCAAGTTATCAGAAAAGGCATTATATTTGGTTTCCACGTTACTGAAAACTGATTTTGGTTTCGATCAATCAAATCTGAATGCCTGCGTCAAGGTTTCAATTTCCCTCCATAACAGTCATGTTCGAGACGACCATAAGTAAAGGAAAGCCAGAGGGAAACCCAAGCACACTTCATATATAGATTGACTCCTGCCCTCTTCCACAGGAACGCTCCAGGGAATGTTAGTTTCAGGGGTTTGTTTTTTTTTCCCTTCAGGTTATACTAACAAAAACTCTACTGTTTATTAAAGCAAAGCTACAGTAAATTTTCTTGCAGTCTTACAGCAGGTTTCATATTAGCAGTAGGACATGCATGCATGTATTGCAGTCACACACATACACGCTCAGACATTATACAGTAGCCATTTGCCACCTTCCCAAAAAAAAAAAAGAAAAAGGAAAAACCCTAGACATTCATTTCTTGTAAGTGGTCAGCATTAGAATCGCACCAAACTTTTGGATTTAAAAAAAGAATACTGCACAGATCTCCGCTGGAAGTAATCCTTTTGCAACGGACGGAGCTTGTGCCTCCATTTGTTCAACATGCATCACTGAAACTTGAAGGCACACTGGCCAAAGACAGCCCTGGTTTTCATTTTGTCATCTTAACTAAAGTGCTGCCCTAAGGGGACAAAAAGAAAAAAAAAAAAGGCCAACCCTTTGGCAGCACACAAGTTGAATGTCACGTAGAGAGACCACAGTACTTGGAAAGGCAGCCCCGCTGCCTGGATTCGAACTCATAGCTGTGCTCTGAGAGGCATTGATTAAAGGAATATATTTGCCTTAAAAAAAAATATATAAAGTATGTAAAGGCAAAATCTGCAACCCTTTTTGCAACTTGCGTGCTATAGACTAATATTCCATCTGGAAGAAACTGGTCCTTCAGTTACCAGCTTCAAGTGGGGAAATCTCCTACACCCCTATCTGTTACTGAAGCACCAGAGATTACAGCGCTGTTCTGATGTCGTGATTTCTCGATTCGGGGAAATGTGGATTAGCTCTACTCCCCTCAAGAGCACTAATCAAACCAGAACGCTCGGGCTGCTGACTGCCGGTGCTATCAGAAGCTGTGCGCTTCTGGGAAGACACCTGGAGGGGGGAGCCATACTGCATTTCTGATCCTCACAGGGTTAGACTTGCTGAGCTTCGTGACTTGCAAGATAAAGCAGGTTTTGGAAAACTAAAACCAACCAAACAATAATAATCCATCACCAAAATCATCATTAGGAAAGTTCCATTTTACAAAGGTCTCCTTTTGAAACCAAAGTCCCTACTATGTGTACGAGGACGATGTGATTTTAAAAAAACAGGAGCAGTTGCCCGCCCTCCCAAGCAGTGCTTTTGGGGATCTTCCCAAAATTACATCTGGGGGGGGGGGTGTGTGGAAAAAGGTTGCGTGACCTTTTTAAAAGTTGTTCTTAATCCTTTTACAGACTCTCCCTTATGACTCAGCCACTTTAGCTGGGAGAGTGATTAGTATGAGAGTTTGGAGAGTCCTGCTCGTTTATGGTGTTCAGGAGGACACACACCGGCTGCCGAGGCAGATGGTGGTGGTTATGTTCACGGTGCTGCTCTTCGGAGGCACTGAAAAGCCCTTCTTCCTCATCCCCATGGAGGCGGCCACTGCAGCTGTCACAGAAGTCCAGGGGCCCATCCAAAGTATCGTCGATGAGCCCATCAAGCTCCTTAAGGTCGTCGTCATGGTGGCCCCGGTTGCAGACGCAGACTTCGATGCCTGAGTCGCCAGTGAAACGGCGGTGCCTGCCAGGAGTCTTGTCCTTGGCATCGGGAATAGCGCTGTTATGGTCTAAGCTTTCACAGCTGTAATCTTTAAGCAGTTCCTCCTTGCACTCGGAATCCTTATCCGGGAAGGACACAGGATCGGCCATCTCCTCCAACTCAGCTCCGGTGCTGGAGCTGCCTGGCTCGGTAGCCTGCATTTTGGTGACAGTTCGTTCAACCAGTGTCATGGAGGATTCAGGGTCCCGGACACTGAGGGACCCAGTGCTGTCAGTGCTGTTGTTATTACCACCTGGTGGTGGAGGAGAGCTTGTCTGTGCTGGCTGGAGGCTTCTTGGAGTATCCGGGATTGTGCTACTGCTGCCTGCCGGGACACACTGCTGATGTAAGGCACTATATGGTGGGGGAGGGGTTGGAGGTCGGTTCACCACTTCCTCATAGGGAGGTAGTAAATAATTTGGCAAAAATCCTAAAATGGGGGAGGTAGAAGTTATTTCATGTGCAATTTCATGAAATTTGTTATTTAAAATA